CATTTTCCCCGCTCCTTGAGGCAAGACAATCCTTCATTTTGCTTCTAATATTGCTCTTCTTCCTCTTAGCTTCATCTAGCTGGTTCATGAGAGAATCCCACAAGGCCAAGTCTCTTAAGCCTCCTGCGCAGTGAATTCCGACTAGGTTTTTTATGGAGAGAGTCAATTTTAATTGCATTTGAGGATTTGAAGTTGATGCTCCACTTTAGGAGCTCCACTCTGGTAGCTTTTATCTTAGCTCCAAATTTGAACATTAGTGTTCCAGATTGCTCTGTAAGCCAAGCTCTCTCCACAACTTCCTTGACATTTACTTCTTCAACCATCTTTTGTCAAAATTAAATATTTTGTTTTTTTTGGAAAGCTCAGGGTTGAGATCTAGAAGTGGAAGCCCATGGTCAGAGGAGCTCCTAAAAATGTTGTTAATATGGGCGTTGGGGAATAGAGAAAAGAAACACATGGAACCAAATATCCTATCTAGTTTTTCTTCCACATAACCTTCACATTCTCATCTGTGCCCCAAAGTAAATTGAAGCCCCTTCATTTTGAGTTCCTGCATCTTAATATTGCCTATAAAGCTTATGAAAGAATAGAAGAAGATCTCAATTCTAGCCATCTATCTATTTTTTTCCCTTCTGGCAGGTTAATCATTCTAGTCCCTCTAGGAACCAGTTGCTTCCCCATCTTACTTTTTTTTTTTGCTCCATACATTCCCTTTGTTGCTTTCTAATTTGAGAGCTAGTGCTTACATAAATGAAGATACTCCAGCAGCTAGTACCTTTACTACTCTCCCAATATTGAACTTGAATATAAAAGCTGACTACTAAGACTTGGATCATACTAATAGAAATATCTCAACCTAACAAAAACACCCAACTTTTTTGTTTAAAAAAAAATCGGGGTGGTAGAGTCTTATGGTCTCCTTGAGCTGGGAAATTGTAGAGGGCTCACATAGTCCTCTACAGTTCCTCACTACCGCATTTATGGCTGGCCTCCCTCACCTCTCAGAGATGATAAGGAACTTTTGAGCTTCTTTTTTACCTGTTGTTCTTCTTCTTTTGGATATTGAGTGGTTGAGTCTTATGTTTCAACTACAGACAATTGTCTTTTCCCTCTTTTTAATCTGAGTTATAGTTCTTCTAATGAATTTCTTGAAGAGGTTGGCTTACTTTTCCAACCCTTCTGCTTGCCCTTTCCCTTCTCTTCTGCTTTGATGTTTGATAACTCATTTGCTGAGGTGATGAGGGTGGTTGAAGAAGCTTTAATGGATGTCAAGCATTTCCCTCCCAGGGCCTTTGGCTCTCTCATGTCTCCAGTAGTGTTGGTTGATGTAGGTAAGTGGTTGTGGTCTCCTCTATTATTTGTGTTGATGAAACTTCAAAAGGAGGATTGATGACAACTAAGAGGATGGATATTTGAGGAGTCAATTATTTAGGCTGATCTCGAGAGATTGGTTCTTGGAATTCACTAGGTTTTTACTAGTTGAGGGGTTATTTATTATTTCTGAGGATTATTTTTAGCTTTGGTTACTGTTTGGAGTAGGTGAATCTGAGGTGGAGCTTTTAGGTTTCTGCTCATGGTTGATGAGAAAGATTGGGCTCTCATCCAATTTCCATACCTACATTCTGTCAAATTCACTGAAACAATATTTAAGCCCCTTTTTTTAACAACTTCTATCCAGATGTCCAATATGCCCACAATAGTAGCAGAGTCCCACTAGCATTTTATACTTGAATTCCACAGTGATTTTCCTTGATCCCAACTGAATATTAGCACATCTTAGAATAAGCTGAGTGAGATCAGCTGTGACAGTAAGTCTGAGACACTTACAACTAGATTTCCTCCTTTAGGTACTATCACATCCTTGACTTGCTTAAAGTCTCTTTCAATTTTTAACCCAAAATAAGTTGACAATCCAGTGGATAGGGATATTCCACAACTACGCCCAGAAATCCAATTCCTCCAAATCTTGGTGAGATGTGTGGATGTCGTCCTTCCATTCTCTTAGGATTAAGTACTGAATTTTCACATGTCCATCCAAAGCCTTTGGACACTTAGAGTTTGTATCCCATATTAGAGAAAACAAATTGGAAGAAAATTGAGCTTAATGCATTAAATGTTACCCGAACTCTAGTTTTCCAAATTTGTGCAACTGCCCTTGTGAGCCCCACTATATGAACTTGATTAATAAAGATATTTGAAAGTCTTTCTCTTGTTTACCCCTTTCGTGACGCTTTCGTTATGTCCATTACATCCATGAGCAAGCTTCTTGTCTCTAAATTTGGGTGAAGAGAAGTTTTCTTTCGGTATATGTGGACGAAGGACAATATTAATATAGATATCTTCTCGACTTCAAATTAACAAGTGATAGACTAACCATGTTTAACACAATTATAAATTATCAAGAGAAAAGTAACAGAATGACTTGCTAAACTTTACATAAATTATCAAGAGAAAAGTAACAGAATCACTTGCTAAACTTTTTACATTTGAAGCTAAAGATTAGTAATATATTTTTTTTAAATATAAATAGAAATTAGTACAATACCGGTATACTACCCGGGTGTTTGAGTTAAGAAATATATGATAAAAGTTATTGCTGTAGAAAGCTATATCTAATACTAAACCTAACTTCAGAGCAAAAATAAATATATAAACAACATCACGAATCATAATTTTTCGTCATGTCAACATCCGAGAATCTGCCAATCTTTTTGCTGTTATTACTTCATCAGATTTCATGCTTGAAATGGTTCGAGCGGTTGAACAAAGCATCATTTTCACATGAAAATGTAGAGAGATTCCAAAATCAAACGCTGAATATTAACACAGTTCCTAATCCCCGCCCAAACTTTTCATCTGAAATATTCTGCTTAGCTAGCCCAAATCTGTAACAAATTACACAGTCCCCATTCAATTCCTAAAGAAGACCAGCTGAATTCATCCTAATTCAGTTTCAATTTCACCTTGCTTGTGTAAATAACAGTTTTAATTGTACAGAAAAATGGACGAAGTTTCGATCCGTGTGCCGTACAGGAACTTGAAGCAGGAAGTGGAGCTGGTGAGCGCTAGCGAATGGGATCATGAGCGCCCTATACAGATCCACGATTCATCGTCGGCGCCGGGATTGTCGCACGGCGGCGGAGAAACGTCCCCGGTTTCTGATCTGCCTCACCCGCCGCCGAAAAATTGCAGCTTATTGACGCTGATCCTCAGTTGCACGGTGGCCGCTGGGGTTCAGTTTGGATGGGCCCTTCAGCTGTCCCTCCTCACTCCTTATATTCAGGTAAACGTCCGCGCGTTGATTTTGAAGACTGGAATCCAGTTTGACTGTGTATTTAGGTTGATGGTTTATGAAGTGGTACAGAAAATTTAGGTAGTTTTAGTGCGTGTCTTTGGAAATGGTTTGATGCGTAATGCTTTCGTGAACTGCTAACTCTGAAGTTCGTTAATAGGGATTTAATGAAGAAGGTGTAGAGATTGAGATGTTATTGGGAGGTTTTGATTTTGTGATGGTAAATGGATGTTAGAGCCTTGATCCTTCTGTAATGGGTATACATTGAAGAATGGTTTTATGTTGATTGTGTGATTTCAATAACATAATTTGATGCTTTGAGCTGTGGCAGATTTTCGGTTTTTGTATTTTTAATTGGACATAGTCTGATTAGATAGATGCATCATACTGCTCACGAAATTTATAATCTGAAATGTTTGCTCATAATTTACTATGAAATGTTGAAAGGTTGATATTTTGAGTCTCTCTCACGTACTCTTTCTCTGTAAATTTGTTATCTATTTTTTTCCGTAAACTTTTATTTCTGTTTTGGTGCAGACGCTTGGTATAGGGCATGAATTTTCTTCCTTCATATGGCTTTGTGGTCCCATAACCGGCCTTGTGGTATGTGCAACTAGATTATTTCTTAATTGTCTAAAGTTTTATGCTTTAGTTATGTCTTGATGCAGCCAAAGACACTTATTTGCAAGTGTTCCATAAAATGATTGAGTTGTATACGAAGTTCAAAAATGGGATCTTACTTTTTTCATTTTGCTCTTTTTACTCATCATAGTTCCAGACAGTAGTTAGTGCACATTGTTCTCTAATTTAGTAAATTATGTTTTCAGGTTCAGCCTTGTGTTGGTATATGGAGTGATAAATGCACCTCAAAATATGGCAGACGAAGACCATTTATTCTTATTGGATCTCTAATGATCTCGATTGCTGTAAGTATGATGTGGTTCTCATGTTTTTCTTATTCTGTTTTTTTCTCTCTTTATTTTTTTCTTATGATGTGGTAGGCTCTTGGGTTTCATCTCTAGCCTACCCCAACTTGTTTGGGACTAAAAGACTTTGTTGTTGTTGTTGTTGTATTTTTTTCTTGATGGAAGACTATTTGAAAATCCAGCTAACTAAGTTCTGCTATATAGGTCATAATAATTGGGTTTTCTGCAGACATTGGTTACATATTAGGGGATACAAAAGAGCATTGCAGGTTTCTTCAACTTCTTGTTCTTCATTCTTATTACCTTTTATATTTCACAAAAACCTGTGGTGAGTGACCCATGAAAATGCAGCACATTCAAAGGGACCCGCACAAGGGCAGCTTTTGTCTTTGTAATTGGATTCTGGATGCTAGACCTAGCAAACAATACTGTGCAGGTGATTTTTAATCGTTTCATATGTTTTTCACAGTTACTAATTTGCTTACGAAGAGAAAACTGAATGTCTCAAGTTTTTACAGGGTCCAGCTCGAGCTCTCCTTGCTGATTTATCAGGTATTGCCTCCCATGTATCTGTAACTCTCACAGAAAAGAAGTGTAATTCATCTTTGGCGATAAAAACTATTATTAAGTATAAATGGGATTTTGTATGGCCACATCGTCCTTTCTTCTATTCTGTCTGACCTCTTTACTGTTCTTACTCCTGCATTCAAGGTCTTTTTCATTGAGTGTTTACCTATCGCGATACCAACATCCATTAATTTGAAAATCTTGGTGATTTTTTAATCTGAATTAGTCCAGCATAAATGATAAATATTATTGAATCAATATCTCATTTTTGTTTAACAGATAACTAAGCTATGTACATGATGCGATGCCAGGTCCTGATCAAAGAAATTCGGCAAATGCTGTATTTTGTGCTTGGATGGCTGTTGGGAATATTCTAGGATTTTCTTCAGGTGCTAGTGGAAATTGGCACAGGTTATATTTAAGAATAATGTTTCATATGCTATTTGGTGATAATTTAATATATTGCTTCATATGTGGTACTAAGCATCATATAACTACCCAACATCGCACTGATCTGTTTCACATATGTCAGAATGCATATAAGGATTTAATTGTGTAAATTCTGGTCACTGATTGATCTTCTACACCTTGTGCGTGTGTGTGTTTTGAGCAGATGGTTTCCTTTTTTGACCAGTAGAGCTTGTTGCGAACCATGTGGGAATCTCAAAGCAGCATTTTTAGTTGCAGTGGTGAGAAACTAATTGGATAGGAGCTTGTGCTTTTAAGTAATATAATATCAAATTAAGATGAGAACACTTACTTCGAGATGTTTTAGACATCTTGTAGATCAAGTAGCTTTTCTGTGTTTACTGCCGCGGAACATTGATTATTAATTTCTCATCACATTTTCGTTTTTTTGACGAAAAATTGTAGGCTCTATTGCTGAACATAGTTTTGTAGATACAATTTATTAATGCGTTTTATGCTGTTTACTTCTGCACACTTTGTTTCCTACAAGTATTTGTTGAAAATCACTAGTCTCACATCATTTATTCGGATAGCTTTTAAAAAAAGGATCATTTTGTGGATCACCGGTGTTTCATAAAGTTTGGATGATAACAGAATTGTTAATTGAATCAGAGCACTGTTGCACAATGTTTGAATGACAACGGAATTGTTACTTTCTTATAGAGGGATTAAGATATATTTTGCCATGCTGCTCCAAAGGTTTCCAGGTGGCCTGTACTAGAATCGTTTTGAAGTTACCTTTTCCGCTGAACTGGGGATCGTGTAATGTACACAATCTCCTCACTTCATCCGTGTGTATCTTTTATTGTATGACAAATTTAATCATGGTTATCCGCTATCTGTCAGTTAATCTGATGCTGAATAGGTAAATTGATATTTGGTGTGCTGAATAGGTAAATTGATATTTGGTGTTTTCATTTTCTGGTAGAAATATTCTCTGTACACATTCTTTATTCGGAATGTGTAAACCGCTTGCACTTGTAATCTGTAAGTTCACATTTTCCTATTTAGATATTTGCATCACTAAACTCTGGCTCCTATTATAGGTCTTCCTTACTTTCTGTACGCTTGTAACCCTCTACTTTGCGAAGGAAGTACCACTGATGCCAAAGCAATCACATCGTCTATCAGATTCTGCTCCTCTCTTGGATGACCATCAGTTAAATGGCCATGACCCTTCAAAAACGAAATTTGACTCGGAACCTAAACAAATCAAAATTAAGTCTGAGAGGCATCACAAAATGGACAATGATGATAGAACTGAAGAAGAAAACGGTCATGAAAATGACGACGATGGCTTTAGTGACAGCCCCGGGGCTGTTTTGGTTAATTTGCTAACAAGCTTACGTCATTTACCTCCAGCAATGCATTCAGTGCTAGTGGTCATGGCTTTGACTTGGGTATTTGTTTTTTATGAGGATTTCTTTTTTCATTTTTCTCTGTTATTCAAAAGGTATCTCCATCAGTTTAAGAAATTAGCTTTCCTTATGTCCAATTTCTTCATTTTTCTGTTTAAATCAGGTTTCCTGGTTTCCCTTTTTCCTATTTGACACTGATTGGATGGGGAGAGAAGTTTTTCACGGTGACCCAAAGGGAGAGGCTGCTGAAATTCAAGCTTACAATCAAGGTGTCAGAGAAGGTGCATTCGGTTTGCTATTGAATTCTGTAAGAACTCAAAGTGAAACACTTTTAAACTGTATTTTTCTGCTAGCAGTATTAGGCATGTTTTAGCATTCTGTGATTCTGCAACCATATTAAAGCTCTGCATTTTCCTCTAAAAGTAGAAAAATAAAAATTGCAGGTTGTTTTGGGCATTGCTTCCTTCTTTATTGAACCAATGTGCAAGTGGATTGGATCCAGACTAGTTTGGGCTTGTAGCAATTTTATCGTGTTTGTATGCATGGCTGGCACTGCTATTATTAGCTTGATATCTGTGAGACAACATTCTGATGGGATTCAACACGTTATTGGTGCAAATGGGACCACCAAGATTGCCTCTTTAGTTGTTTTTGCTCTTCTTGGCCTCCCTCTTTCTGTAAGTGCTTGGATCGTGTACTTTTCTGCAAACTTAATGTGTTGTTTTTTTTCTTAAAATAGTAAGCACATGTCTCCAGAACTGCTTGTCTTTATTTAAGAAGATAGTATTGCCACCAAAAGTTTGCCCATTGATGCTTTTGAACTTACATTGTAGATCACTTATAGCGTACCGTTTTCTGTTACTGCTGAGCTGACTGCTGATTCAGGAGGTGGACAAGGTACGTGTTCATTTCACTAGACTTTCTGCGTGCTAATTAAAATATTTTCATTTTCTCTTCTGTTTTTTGGGTGTTTGAACTGTGAGTGTTGCATTTTTGTTCAGGACTAGCAATCGGAGTCCTAAATCTAGCCATTGTGGTACCTCAGGTAGTTTAGTCATGCTTTATCTGTTATTATCCTAGCTTGATTGTAAGAGATAAGTACCATAAAGTTTAATAAAATTTTAGACTATCTTGTTGTCTTTCAAATTTACAAGTACCTGTAATTTGGGCGGCGAACTACTTAAAATCTGGTATAAGCGTACTGAAAATTTATTTGTTTTATTTATTTATTCAGATGATTGTCTCGCTTGGTGCTGGCCCATGGGATGCATTATTTGGTGGTGGAAACATACCCGCATTCGTCTTGGCATCCTTTGCAGCCCTTGCAGCCGGTGTTATTGCAGTACGTAAACTTCCAACTCTTTCAAGCAATTCCTATAAATCGACCGGCTTCCATTTTGGTTGATCAAAATCATTCCACATGAGAGAATAACCATTTATACGCGATTATACAACCTGGATCCTGGATCCTGTATATGCACATACAATTTCTGTCGTAAACGATAAAATTTACACCTTTGTTCATTTTATTCATCAGAGGGTAGTTTATATAGTATCTTTTGTGCATGTTGGTATTTCAAGAATCGTACAGAAAAGAATAGGTCTGATTTGGAGGAAAGGAGCAAATGCTTAGGCTACATTCATATTTATTGTAATTTTACATACTTGACATAGCAAAGTGTAGTTGACTCGATTACTGGAGATGTAGCAACAGGTTTGGTCATCTTGAATAATATGGTTGGACTGATCCATCACTTTTTCAGGAAGCATACTTTGGTCCATTCTTTGCGACCGTGTTGTGTTTGTGTCGCACACTCACTTATCTTATTGACTCGTGTTATCCTTATCTTTTTTCTTTTATCGTAAATGTAACATCTAAGTATTATCTCGACTGAATTTATGATTACATGCTTCTCTATTACGTTGCCTATCTGTATTATGCTGTGCCTAGCTGCTTTGGTGCTGTATTCTGTGATTTTTCTTGTAATTGCTTTTTACAATCATGTCATGTCACCTATTGACACCCTTATTTGTCTCATGGTTTCTGATGGAGTGCCTAGCTGCAAATGGTACCTTATATTCCTAAGAAAAATAAATATGATTTGGCATCTTGGTCAGTTATTCATGAAATTTGGGGAGATACAAGATTGCGCTTTAATATAATATTAAATAAACTATGAATGTTCACTCAAGTTGCCGAAGTAATTCAAACAAAACACGAACCTTCAGGAGAGCACCTCACTCTCTCTCGGAACTCTTTCATTCAAATCATTCAAATAAGTGTTTGACCAAGTATAATTAGGATTTACAACAACGACTATCTCTTCATAATCTACGTTGTACACATTTATCTAACTTTTTGGCCACTCCTCATGGACTTTGTTTACAATGCGAATATGTCCGTGCAAATGAGAAAGTGTTCATCCCAAGCACTTTGATGATGAATCAAAGTATGTGCGATTCAAATAAGAGATGAAGACTCTAATTTGATCACTCACTCAAAACAAATAATAAATATACAGTGATCACCATGTCTCAAACTCTCTTGCACACTTCTCTTAAGATGATAATCAATGTCTAAAACTAAGTGTACGAGACAACTAAATACAAGTTATACATGGTAAGTAGGTTCTTCAGCAACTTCTAAATATAGTCACTCTTAATCAAGATAAGTCTGCGTGTCTAAGTTTTTCCAATCACATCAGTGCGTCCTGTCTTTTGTGCTAATTAACAGATAGGATCTAATAAAAGAAAGACAAACCCTACCTATGCAAGATTGAATGCAACTTGCTTGGCATATATTCTTAATGCTAAAGTCAACAGAATACCAACCTATAGACTTCTTATGCTTAATGACTTTACTCGTTGCATTGGGGTTAATTGGAGCATTGTTTTATTTATTTGAGATATTCTTAGTATGCTATGTGGTCGCAGTTTAATCTGATTTTCCACATCAGAAAAGAATTATTCCTGTTTTATTGCAAGAGATTATTTTTTCTTTTGTCATTCTTGAGTTGATGGGATTGGGTTTATTGTTCACCATTTTACCTCGGTGTTTTAATTTACACCTTCCGCATTTGCGTATCTGAGCCCAACAAGTAGTATCAGAGCTCAACTTGGGCTCTGTATCAACCAGTGTGAATTAATAGAGGAGAACGTGGGTACCATGGTAAAGCCCACAGCAACAAATTACTCCATTTGGAAGCAAAAAATGGAGGACATACTTTTCTACAAAGATCTATACGATCCTGTAGAAAAGGGAGACAACAAGACAGATGATGTGAAGGATGACGATTGGAAAAAATTACACAGGAAGGCTGTCAGTTTAATCAGACAGTGGGTGGATATCAGCATATTCCACCATGTTGCCACAGAGTCTAAAGCCCATACTCTGTGGAACAAAATTGAACTAATGTACCAGAGGAAGACTGCACAGAATAAAGCTTTCGTCATTAGAAAGCTTGTAAATCTAAAATATTAGGATGGAAGACCAGTTGCAGAACACTTGAATGAGTTTCAAGACATGGTGAACCAACTTGTTACCATGGAGATGAAACTTGATGAAGAATTGCATGAGCTGTTATTTTTGAGTTCTTTACCGGATAGCTGGGAGACTCTGGTGGTCTCGGTGAGCAATTATGCCCCTGAAGAAAAATTGACTTTGACCCAAGTCAAAGACAATATGTTTAATGAAGAAACAAGAAGAAAAGATTCAGGGGCAAGCAGCTCCCAAGCCCTGGTCACAGAAACCAGATGGAGAAGCAGAGGTCGGAATAACAAATCCAGAGATAAATCGCAATCTCAACCCAGAAGAAAATTCAAGTGTTATCACTGCGGTGAAGAAGGGCATATCAAAAGAAACTGCAAAGCCTGGAAGAATAGAGATCGAAGGAACAAATCAGAGAACGATGAAAATACCGCAACCCCTGTGATCAATGGGGAAGTGGTTTTGCTCTCTGTTGAAGAAGAAGAGTGTCATGTTGCAGATTCATGTGTTGAATGGGTCATTGACTCAGCTGCATCCTACCATGCAACCTCTCACAAGGAATTCTTTTCTCTATACAAAGAAGACTTTGGTAGAGTAAAGATGGGCAACAACAGTATTGCAAATATTGTGGGAGCTGGTGATGTGTGCATTCAAACTAATATTGGGTGCACAATAACACTGAAGGATGTGCGACATGTACCTGACTTACGTCTGAATTAGATCTCTGTGCATGCATTGGATCTATCAGGCTATACTAACAACTTTGGTAGCGGCACGTGGAGGCTTACCAAAGGATCATTGTTAGCTGCTAAAGGTACAGTGAGATCGACACTGTACAGAACTCAAGTGAAGCTGGTCAAAGGTGGATTAAATGCAGTCGAGGATGATGCTTCGCCAAATTTGTGGCACAAAAGACTGGCTCATATTGGTGAAAAAGGATTGCAAATTTTGGCAAGAAAGTCCCTCATCCCATTTGCCAAAGATTCAAAACTAAATCCTTGTGATTATGTCTCTTTGGGAAGCATCATAGAGTGTCTTTCAACAAAACCTCGAAGCTGAAAGAGAATATTTTGGAGATGGTGTACTCTGATGTATGTGGACCCATGGAAGTGGAGTCTCGGTGGTAGCAGATATTTCGTGACGTTTATTGATGATGCTTCACGGAAATTATGGGTATATTTCTTGAGAACAAAGGACGAAGTTTTCAAGTACTTCAAAAGGTTTCATGCTATGGTGGAGAGACAGACTGGTAAACCTTTGAAGTGTCTTCGCTCAGATAATGGAGGAGAGTACTCTTCCCATGAATTCAAGAATTATTGTCCTGATCATGGAATCAGGCATGAGAAGACTGTACCTGGAACCCCACAACATAATGGTATGGCTGAAAGAATCAATAGAACCATTATGGAGAAAGTGAGGTGTATGTTAAGAATGGCTAAACTACCTAAGCCATTTCGGGGTGAAGCTGTTCTAACGACGTGCTACCTGATCAACCGATCTCCATCTGTTCCTTTGGGCTTTGATATCCCTGAGAAAGTATGGTCCGAACATGATGTTAAATACTCTCATCTGAAGGTGTTTGGATGCAAAGCTTTTGCTCACGTAAACAAGGAACAGAGACGAAAACTTGATGATAGAGTCATTCCTTGTATATTTCTGGACTATGGAGATGAGGAATTTGGCTACAAGTTATGAGATCCAGAAAATCAAAAAGTTATCAGAAGCAGAGATATAGTGTTTCATGAGCAAGAAACTATGTCTGATTCTGCTTCACCAGAAATTACAGAACCAAGTGGTAAGGTGGATCTTTCACCTGTCAAACCTCTTGGAGATGCCACAGCAGGGGGAGAGTGTGATGGAGAACTCAGGGTTGATGATGAGCCAACAACAGAAGATGGTGATGGTGAAGGTGTCGAGCAAGAAGACCTCGAAGCTCCGCCTCAGCTCAGGAGATCAAATCGAGCAATCCAACCGTCTACGAGATACCCTAGTTCCACGTATATTACCATCACTGAAGAAGGGGAGCCAGAAAGTTTTGAAGAAGTACAGACTCATAAGGATAAATTCCAGTGGATGAAAGCTATGCAAGAAGAAATGGATTCACTGGTGAAATATGAAACTTATGAGCTTGTGAAGCTTCCGGAAGGCAGAAAAGCCTTGAAAAATAAATGGGTGTTCAAGCTTAAGAAAGACGGTGACAAGCTGTTGAAATACAAGGCTCGCTTAGTTGTGAAAGGATTTGGACAAAAGCGAGGAATAGATTTCGATGAGATATTCTCTCCGGTTGTAAAGATGAGCTCTATTCGAGTAGTACTCGGATTGGTGGCTAGCTTGGATCTGGAGATTGAACAACTAGATGTGAAGACTGCATTTCTTCATGGAGACCTAGATGAAGAAATCTACATGGAGCAACCAAAAGGATTTGAGAAGACTGAAAAAGAGAACATGGTTTGCAGATTGAAGAAGAGTTTGTATGGACTGAAACAAGCTCCACGATTATGGTATAAGAAATTTGACTCGTTTATGGCGAGCCATGGATATACCAAGACTGATGCAGATCATTGTGTGTTCGTTAAGAAATTTCCAGGTGATATTATTATCCTTTTGTTATATGTAGATGATATGTTGATAGTGGGACAAGATATGAAGTTGATTGGTGATTTGAAGAAGGACTTAGCAAATTCTTTTGATATGAAGGATCTCGGCCCTGCGAATCAAATTTTGGGCATGCAGATCAAGCGAAAACGAAAATCCAAGAGGTTGTGGTTATCGCAAGAACGGTATGTGAATCAGATTCTGGAGAGATTCAACATGAAATCGGCTAAACCAGTCAATACACCGTTGGCCAATCACTTCAAACTGAGTAAACGAAGTTGTCCTACGAGTCAAGAAGAAAAAGAAGCTACGGTGGGTGTTCCATACTCCTCGGCAGTCGTGAGTTTGATGTATGCCATGGTTTGTACTAGACCAGATATCGCTCACGCGGTTGGAATTGTTAGCAGGTATCTTTCCAATCCTGGGAAAGATCATTGGGAAGCTGTGAAGTGGATCTTGAGGTACCTAAAAGGCAGTGCAAATAAGTCCTTGAACTTCGGCAAAAGAAACCCAATTCTTGAAGGTTATACAGATGCGGATATGGCAGGTGACCTGGATAGTAGGAAATCTACTTCAGGGCTTGTGTTTACATTTGCAGGAGGAGCTGTATCTTGGAAATCTAAATTGCAGAAATCTGTTGTCTTGTCAACTACTGAAGCATAATATATTGCAATGACAGAAGCAGGAAAACAAATGCTTTGGTTGAAGAGGTTTCTTCAACAATTGGGAATGAAGCAGGAAAGGTACGATATCCATTGCGATAGTCAGAGCGCATTGGATTTAAGTAAGAATGCGATGTACCACTCTCGCACGAAGCACATTGATGTCAGATATCATTGGCTACGTCAAGCAGTGGAAGAACAACAGTTCAAGTTGGAAAAGATTCACATTGACGAAAATCCTGCTGACATGATGACGAAAGTTATAACAGGAGGAAAACTTCAGCTTTGTGTCGAGCTGATCGGCATGGTTTGCATGTGAAGATCTACAAAATATTTCTCTTTGACTGGAGGGGGAGAATTGTGAAGTTCCAGTCAAATTAAGGTGGCTAGCCCACCATTGTAGAAAAAGAAAAAAAAAATATAAAATAAAATAAAGGAAAGAAAGAGGAATGAAGAGCCGCAAGAAAATTTATTGTTCACATGCACTTCCCCCCTCTATAAATAGGGGGGATTCATTCTGAAGCAAACACACCAAAAGAAAAAAGAGCAGAAGAAAAAGAGAGAATAAATAACATTTTGTGAGTGTTATTTTCAGTGAGAGAAAAATAGAGTGTTTGAGTAAATCCTGTGAGTATGTGAAAAATACAACCGGTTGGGTATCAACTCTATTACTCATTGGTTGTAAAATTTGAATAGGAGTGGGGTTTCACTGGGTCACTATATTTTACATTTCTAGTGTAGGGGAGTGTGAAAAGATATTGTAATTATCTTGAAAATATAGTGGAATTGTTCGGAGGTTGTCCCGTGGTTTTTTTCTCTACATTGGAGGTTTTTCCACGTTAAATCTTGGTGTCTTGCATATTTTATTTATTTGGGATATTCTTAGTATGCTATGTGGTCGCAGTTTAATCTGATCTTCCACATCATAAAAGAATTATTCCTGTTTTATTGCAAGAGATTATTTTTTCCTTTGTCATTCTTGAGTTGTTTATTGTTCACCATTTTACCTCGATGTTTTAATTTACACCTTCCGCATTTGCGTATCTGAGCCCAACAAACTTAGGCCTTGACGACTTTCTATATGCTTCAGTTTCAAAGAAAGGATAGTGCTACCCTATTTGTTGATGTTATTGGCTTTCCAACCTTATGAATCTTGAAGTTGAGCTAGTTTGAAGGCCATCCAAGTAGGATACGAACTGAAGTACTCTGACAAGGACTCTCTCCTTTCGCATAAGGCAACTTTCTCTTTGAAGTCATCCATTGGGCTCGCTTCAAAGAAGACCCTTAAGGGCCCTATAGAGAATAAATCCCCTTTGCCTTTTCTCATAGGATATGCTCTAAAAAAACCATTCTTAGCTATCGCGCCCATAAATTCCCGTATGTACTCCAAGTGAACGCAATGACATCTTCGACTTCGAAGTCAACTGAAGAGATCCAAACTATTATTTCCAGATATCTCAATTCATCAAAATTCAAACAAGTGTTCCAAAGAAATACTTTTCTTAAGGTTCTTTCTTTAAAGAATGAATATTCTTGATATTTTGAGACCAAAGAACTCTTTTTAACATTACAACTTTCTTGACTAGGAGATAGGTAGTATGGTAGAAAGAAATAGACGAATCTTTCTAACATACTATCTATCTTTTAGAATATTGTTTGTCACCGGAAAGCAAGAACCATCACAAACTACCTTGTCCTAAAATCCCACCTTTCAATGTCACAGACGGCTCCGACACAAGGCAATAAAGATCAGGACTCTGCTATCGTTTCGTCTTCTTTTCCGGGATGACTGGGGATATGGGCTTGCCTTGGAGGTGACTATATTACTGTCCTCTTCCTTTAGCTATTATCCCGACAGTAAACGGAAGGGAACGTTACGCATGGGTTCGGCTGCCCTACTTAGCATGTAGGAACAGAAACGATTGTGAACTCCCTTACAACAAACGATCTTAAAGAACGAAAACCTAAACCGTCTATTCTAAGACTTTACCCAACTTATGGTAATCTCTCCCACCTAGGCTATGTAAGATGCAATGATGTGGTCACACTATTTTTCTTAGTTGAACAACACGAAAGGTGGAGAGAAAGAAAGGACCCTACTAGCAAACAAAACGAAGAAGGTTGCCCTTGCGACACTTTTTTGCAGTAAAAGAATGAATAGCTTGATAAATGACCCTTCTAGTAGGGACCCTCGACGACTTGTTTTTGGGACGTCTTTCTCGTACTCTGGTTCAGCTTTGATCAAGCAAGAGAAGGGTGGAGATATCCTTTGGTGGTTTGGTGGCTCTGGGAGGTAAAGAATCTCTGGATTTTTTTAAAAGATTTGGATGTCGGATAGAGTCAAAGTACGTCGGCAATGAGTGACTGGATGGAGTTCATTCATGTACATAAGGTTTCAGGTTTTGGTTCTTAAGGATTAGTAGCAGACTAGGTCCATTGGTTCAGTGGTCTACTAGTTTTTTCTTTGTTATTAATTAGTTTGTTTGTTGGTTGCTTCTATGTTGTATTCTGGAGGTCCTAATGTGTCGATTTTGCCTTATGTTTATAACTAAAGGTTCTTTATTCTGTGGGTAATCTAAACCACCGGTGGTGTGATTCCCTTTGTATTTTGGCGTAAACCGATTTCTATTTATACAGAGTTCTTCTATTGTTTAGAATAAAAAAAATTAGTAACTATATGGTCCTCTCTCGGGGTGACTCGGGATCAATCAAAGTGCTCGTGGAATGCTTAAGAGACTTCGGGGAGAAATCGGGGCTTGAAATGAATGTGCTTAAGTCCAACATCTACTTGGCCAGCGTGAAAGAACATGATCGTGAGACCATCCTTGATGATACTAGCATGCTAACCGGGCCTATGCCGTTCCAAGAGTCTCAACGAGAATAGGCAGCTTTAGCATCAAGCACATCATCATACCTATAGGCATCCGAACAAGTGTCTCCATTTGAATTCCCTGAGCAAGCTCTCCTCTTCCTTCAGCGGTTGGGTGTCTTTCTTTCCTTCTCGAATAGCTTAGTTGAAAGACTCTGTATGGGATGTTCTTTCTATCGAGTGATAAACGGAGGGATCTTGCTTTCTAAAGCAGCAGAAAAGTAGTATCACCTATCCTCTACTAAAGTAGAATTCTTTTGTTCTAGAATCAGCTTATATCGAATCTATATCTCCTCCACGAAAAGTAAGAAAGTCCGCATATTTTGGCCAGCTAAAAAAAATATGAAATAATAATAATAATAATAATAATAATAATAATAATAATAATAATAATAATAATAATAATCGTCCCTGTATATAATTTCCGAATGTACTGAATCTAAGTGGCAGACTCGCATGCTTCGGAATCCTAGGTGTCAAAATTCCATGTTTTGTTGATTGGATTAGATTTTAATTTAATTCCAATTCAAAACTAATTAGGTTCGGATTATCATAAATATGTTGATTTATTTATGATCATTTTAGATGTATTAGTTGTATTTTAATATCATTTCCTATTATAACTATTGAATTGGAAATGTATTTTAAAAGTTGATAACTTTTATATTTCTTATCGATTTTACATATATAATGTATCATATTAATCATCTTATGATGAGCTTCGATTTGACATACATATTGTATATATAAAATAAACAAATTATATTTATCTTTACAATAATAAAAAATATTTATTAAAATGAATTAAAAATAAAATTATTTCTCAACTAATATATTCATGTATAATGTAGTATATGTTATAAGTTAGAAAAATTATTATAATATAGCACATGTAAGTCGTACAAGTAACAAGTGTCATACTAAAATACTATATATGTATATATATATAAAGTATTTAAATTTTCAACTACCTTTTTTTTCGGAACGATAGAGATAATATAGCAGAGCACAAAAGTGCAAAAAGAACAAATTACAAGACCCCAACGGGGTAATCTAAGGCCCCAACAGAGTAATCTAAGGCCCCAACAGGGTAATGAGACGGGGCCAACGACCCAAACCAAAAATACACCTAAAAAACAACAAACAAGAATAGCAAACTGAGAGGACACGCACGGGGCGGCTTAGAGAACTCCAAAAATGAAAATAAAGGAAAATGAAAAACAGAGCCACTGCACAATGCCTAGCATGTATTCATCTCCGAAACAAAAACAAACAAACGCACTGAACAAATAAAAGGACAACCAGCAAAACTAACTAGAAAGCAAAAACTAAACGACCATCCCCCGGAGAACCGACTAAACCGAAGAAGTAGCTACAACCTTCTCTGGGAAGGGCCCCTGGCCAAGCCCCTACCTCGGAAACTGTCGAAGGCCTAACACGAGGCGGGACCCCACCCCCGAACCCAACCCAAAGGACAGTACCCACTGACCGCGGAGAACAGGCCAAGCAACCCCAACCGGAGCAACCCGAGCTAGGCTAACACCACTAGCCCAACTCCAGAATACCGGATCCCAAGCAACCCAAAAAGAGATGCGCTGGGATAGCCGCTACCAGCCCGAACCCCAACCCCGACAACCACCACGCACGACACACAGCAGCCACCGGAGCCCCCCCAACCACCACCATCGCCGCCCCACCACCACAGCCGCAGACTCACAATCTCCCTCCTTCCCCGACCGTCAACCACCCAGCAGGAACCGGAACCCCTGCTAAGCGCTCCAAAGCCCCAACCAAATCCCTGAACCACCATCCCCAGGCACCCAGACGGGCCGAGACAATCCCAGCCAGACGACCCCGCCGGAGAAAACCTTGGAGCCCCTCTCGAACCCTAACCCCCAAAACTCACCCTACGCCAAACCGCCACACAAACCAGATCAAGAAGGAGAACAACAAACGGTGCTCCCAACCGCAACAAGCTGCACCGACAAACTCGGATTAAGACCGGGAACCGCCGCCGGTCCCCCCACCACCACCGAACAGGGAAGAAGAAATAAGAAGCTATGGCTGCGAATAGAGGAGAAGCGACAACAGGAAAGGGAAGAGCGGCCAGTGGCAGCCGCAGATTCGGCCTCGTCGCCGCCGGAAGAGGTCAAATCGGAAGAGATTAGAGGAGCCGCAGGAGGGGATTAGTTCGCCGAAAGAGGGGATTAGTTCGGAAGTGTTTGTCATCACTAACTACCTTTTTTCATTAATTTTAAATTTTAAGAAAAAATGTTAACAAGCATCCGTGTAATACACGAGCGTTGTACTAGTAATCCCCCTATGTATAATTCTCGAATGTGATGAGCTTACGTGGCAGACTCGCATGCTTCGTAATCGTAGGTGTCAAATTTCATGTTTTGTTATTTGGCTTGGATAGATTTTAATTTAATTTCAATCCAAACCGGATTACCATAAATATGTTGATTTATTTATGATCATTTTAGATGTATTAATTGTATTTTAATATCATTTTCCTATTATAACTATTGAATTGTAAATGTATTTTAAAATTTGATAACTTTTGTATTTCTTATCGGTTTTACATATATAACTAGTACAACACCCGTGTATTACACGGGTGCTTGTTGAAAAATTATTCTTAAATTTTAAAATTAATGAGAAAACTATATTAATAGTATACTTTTTTTTAAAAAAAAAATATATTACTATATATTTTAGAATGATATGTGTTACTTATGACTTATAATAGTTTTTATAACTTATATCATATAACTACTTGAAATATAAATATATTAGTTGATAAATAATTTTATTTTATAAAGATAAATATAAATTATTCTTTTTATACATATAATATGGATGTTAAATCGAAGCTCATCAAAAGAAGATTAATTTGATATATTACATATGTAAAACTGATAAAAAATACAAAAGTTATTAACTTTTAAAATATATATACAATTTAATAGTTATAATAAGGAATGATATTAAAATACAATTAATACATGTAACATGACCATAAATAATCAACATATTTATGGTAATCCGAACCTAATTATTTTTTGGTTTGGAATTAAATTAAGATTTACCCAAACCTAATAACGAAGCATGTAATTTTGCCACATCGGATTCCGAAGCACCAGAAGCGGCCACGTAGGCTCAACGCGTTCTGTATTAATATATATGGGGATGTATCAAATTAATCATCTTTTGATGAGTTTCGATTTGGTATCCATATTGTATATATATAAAAAATAAATTATATTTATCTTTACAATAATAAATAAATATTTCTTAAAATTAATTAAAAAAAATTATTTCTCAATTAATATATTCATGTTTAATATAGTTATATGTTATAAGTTAGAAAAATTATAATAATATAACACATGTAAATCGCACAAGTAACAAATGTCATACTAAAATATAATATGTATATATATATATATATATATATATATATATATATATATATATATAAAAGTATTTAAATTTTTAACTACATTTTATCATTAATTTAAAATTTTAAGAAAAAAATCTAACAAGCGTCCATACATGTGTTGTACTAGTAAGATGATCTAACGATTACAATTGTACTAGTAAGATGATCTAACGATTACAAACCCCGACGGAATGGTTACGTAACGGGGAACTTAGCATCTTCCAATCCAATCCTCCCTATATATAATTCCCGAATGCGCTGAGCCTACGTGGCTGCTTCTGGTGCTTCGGAATCCTACTTGGCGAAGAATCATGCTTCGTAGTTTGGTTTGGACAAATAATATTATATATTAATAATTAATAATCTAGGTTCGGGTATTCCATAAATATTATTTAGCTAAATTAGGTAGTTTAATATCAATTGTATTAATATAACCCTTTAATTCTTTGTAATTTTAGATAGTTAGTCAGTAAGTGACTAATATATCCCTGACTTTTGATTTGTTTCCTACAATTAGTTATTGAATTGTAAATGTATTTTAAAAGTTGATAATTTTTGTATTTCTTATCGGTTTTACATATATAATATATTAAATTAATCATCTTTTGATGATCTTCGATTTGACATCCATATTGTATATATGAAATAAATAAATTATATTTATCTCTATAATAATAAAAAATTTAATATTTACTAAATTTCATTAGAAAAATAGAATTATTTATCAATTGATATATTTATGTTTAATGTAGTTATATGTTGTAAGTTACAAAATTATTATAATACAACACAAGTAAGTCGCACAAATAAAAGGGTCATACTAAATATAATAATATAAATATTTTTAAAAGATATTTAAATTTTCAACTACCTTTTATCAGTAATTTTAGATTTTAAAAAAAAAAAATTAACAAGCACTCGTGTAATACACAATCATTAACATTTTACTAGTAATAATAAGGGTGGATGAAAAGAATTGACATTATATTAGCTAGAAATCCGCCACGTCAGCTCGGCTAGTCCTCAGCCACTCGAAATTTTCCAAAACCAAATCTCCAGAAAGCCTCCCGAGTAGCCAAACTGTTACATTTTATCTCCGACGGATAACTCCATGGCCACCTCAGCCGCCGCCACCACAATCTCCACCACCACCGCCGCCCACCACCACTCCCCCCACCTTATCCCCAAACCCTTCCTCACAAAGCCCTTCCCTCCGTCCCCCCGTCCACTCACCAAGCTCCACGTCTCGTCTTTCTCCAATCCCGCAACCGCCGCCTCTGCCGAGCCCGCCGACGCCGCCTCCTCCTCCCGGAAGAATAACAAAGAAACGATCTTTTTCGACGGCGGGGCCCACTACGGGGACCTCCTGGCGAACCTCCTCCTGGGCTTCACCCTCCTCTGGCTGCCGCTGACTCTCGCCGCCGTTTTCAGGGCGTTTTATCTGAGGTACAGATTCACGAACCTTAGGGTTACGGTTATATCCGGGCTGACGGGCCAGGACAGGAGCGACTTCTCGTACGACGTGGTTAAGGATGTCCAGGTTGTGCCCAGGTTTATCGGGGAGTGGGGCGACGTCATCATCACCCTCAAGGATGGGACTAAGGTGGATCTGAGGAGTGTGCCCAAGTTCAGGGAGATTGCAAAGTATTGCTTGGCTATGGCCGATAAGCCTGTTGTTCTCAATGAATCTGGGCCTAAGGGGTTTTGAAGGGTTGAATAATGTGGATTTTGTTGTGTAAAAATTGTTGCAAATTCTTAAGAAAATATGGAACTTTGATTCTTGGTGGAAGGCATCCAAAGTCATATATATATATATATATATAAATTTCTCGGAAGATGCTACGGTCATTTACGAACCATTCAGTAGGGGTTTGTAACTGTTAGATCAACTATCTATGACGGTTACATGATGATCTAACGGTTACGAACCCGACGGAATGGTTCCGTGACGGACGGACCGCATTTCCCCATTATTTCACAATATTTATTGTGTTTCTGTTAAAAAAAAAAAAGGGAACCATTGAAGGAGTTGATGAGCTTATTTGGAAAAATTTTCACAACAGGGGCAATGGCTCTGCTCTTTCTGCAAAACTGAATAGGGCTTCACAACTTCATTTGCTAATTTCACATTTTAATGATTCTTTTTCTTCGATAAAATCTATAGGTCTAGCCAATGCAGAAATCAAGTTTCATTTTCTGTTTCTTTATGTACTGTTCAATTCATGTGTTTTATTACGTTGATCGGTAGAAGTTTCTAATAATACTTAATTCGTTGGAATATCAAAAGGATACAGGGGATGAAGTATTAGTAGCATAGATGATTTCAAAATGTGCATGGAAATATTAACTTCACAATATTTGTGTTGAAACTGTATTGGTTTGAGTTGAGAATTTGAGATGCAACTTCTTTCTTGAGGGGTGTGTCTGTGTGTGTTTCTTTTAAGGCGGTTCGGAATATAAAACTGGTGTCAATCAGACACGAGAAAAAATAATTCCTAAACAATTTAATCACGATTGATTTGGTGAACAAAAACTAACTAGAACTAGAAAAGCAAATAATCACGGCTGGAGAAAAAATAGGAAAGGGGTCGAGAAATCTTATTAAGTTTTAAACTATGTTTAACGCTTAATTGTTCGGTTACGTGATTCAGCAAGTCTACATGTCTTTGGAGGTTTACGCCAATAACGTTTTCGTAAGAAGAGCACATACATAAACAACAAACTCATTAATCAAGTAACACATAGACAATACTTTTACGAACAAGTCTATTCTACACGAGTCTAAGTCAAACAACTCCTCCCCTTTCAGTTTTAAAAGTTTAATTCAATTAGAAGAATACATTCACCTCATACGAGCCTAAGTTCAACTTCTCCCTCTCGGTACAAAAATCTGTTTGCCTAGCAAGTAAACAATCAAGCGACTCACATGGATTGAACAAAGCACATTCAACACAATTCAGAACAAGAATCAAAATCTCTAACCCTAGGTGAATGAAATACCTCATTATTGGATTCAATTCCATGTTAATCACTATAAACAACATAAACCCAATGAACAATAGTATATAGAATTGAAAACTTACAATTGGATTAGGACTTTCAATCTTAATATCTTTGTTTTCAACATTCCAAGCATGGGAGAACAAAAAAAAAAAGCGGAGAAATAATCCTAAGAAATTGTCTACAAATGATTATTGGAGTGTCACTCTCCAAAATTGGATTCAAGCCAATTAAGAGAAGAAGATGTTTTGAAAAGAGGCCTGGACGATGGCTCGCGGGCTTGCGCGGGCGCGGACAGGTATCCGCGGGTCTGTTGTGGGGTCGACGATGGGTTGCACGGGTACGCTCGGGTGTGCTGCAGGAGGCCTAGGGTGAGTTGGGCGAGGCCTGGGACAAGCTGGGCGATGTTTGGACGCACGGGTGCGGTCTGCTAGCGCAACTGTGCACCTCGGGCTCGTACGAGACTCCGAATTGAGTTCTTTTTTTCCTACTCGTCCCTGACACAACCTTCTAGAGAAATACATTCAGGCAACCTGGATTTATTCTTAGATTAGTTGAAATACTAATACCCATCGATGCTCTGAACATGCACACCTCCAACGACAAAAAAATACCCGAATACGGGAAAAACAAAACAAAAAAAAAAACACTAAAAAATCAGAATAAATAAAAAATGCGCTACAAACGACTAAGTGGATCAAAACACCTAAGAAAAAAGACCCAAAATATGGGGAAAATACAAACAAACCAATAATGAAAATAACAACAAAAATGAGACAAACAATTTACTCACACTTAAACCTTTGTTCGTCCCGAACAAAAAGGAAAGAAAAGAAAACTCAAACGAGCATGGACAACAATTTCAAACAAGAAGAGTCTCAAATTGATCAACTAAGTTGAAGTGAATCCCAATTACCACAAGAGCATACCTCAACTACTAATTTGGCTACTATGCTTTGAAAAGACAAACTCTTAAGCATATGAATATGATATATGTGACTCACTCAGTTTCTTACATGATTTAGTATATGTAAGCTCAAATTGGCCGTCAACCAAACTCAATCATATGCTTGTCTATCGTCTAACCCCTACTCTAAATCATTAAATCATTCAAACTCGTGAACGAATGATTCAAAAAGACTCTCCGACTTGTAGTGTAAACTCTTTGGATCGGGTAGGATAATAAAGGCTAAGTGGCTCAAATATGTAACATCTCAACTCAACACCAACTATGATCATATCATGCTGAAGTTGTTCAAACTAACCGGCACTTTCCTACACTCGCCAAGTCCAACACTTTCCCCAACGATTTATTATTATTATTATTATTATTATTATTATTATTATTATTATTATATTTTTTGTGGAAACCTTTTGAGCATTTTATCTAAATATCTGCCGAGTCTCCTAGACCATAACTAACTTTGACCACAAGTGCCTGAGTTTGATCGACCTGATTCTCCTAACTGCATTCTTTTACGTGAGTTTCAATTATTTTCATGATCAATACACAGCAGCCACAAATTGATCATGCAAAATCCCATAGCAACAAAATACCATTCTTCTGTCATACATACACTAGTGCGAGCCGCAACAAAACTTAAAAAAAAAAAAAAAAAAAGAGCATACCATCCATCCATTTGTGGTATACTTAGTATAACAATCTATAACTACCAAGTGAATTTCTATACTAGCAATATAAGTCAATAACCACTAGAACCTCACCGCCCACATCAATATATCACCATGATAAAGTGGGAAAAAAAATGACCACATCTTCGTCTCACATCGAAAGCCTACCAGTCTCCGGCTTACGTGGACTTCCTCTTCTTCTGATTCCTCCTAATTTTCTTCCATTTTAGGTAAATCTGATAAGACAATCCCGAGAACACCATAGCCACACTTCCCCATTGTTTGCCGGACAGGGGATTCCCACTTAGCAAAGACGACACAACTATGCTCACAAATTTCCGAGTTGTTGTTATGGTTGTGTTAGTCAAGGAACCAAACCGGCTTATGGTCAAAAAGATGAAATTCTGGCCAACCGCACCACACAGACAGTAGAGGAGTATGTCCCAGGCAGCTTCCGGATGGTTCCGGCAGAATTGTACTGCATCGTACCCAATGGCACCTGGCCAGCCGAACATGAAAACCAGGTTGTATATAGTGCCCCAAAAGTTCATTCCAAGCATTATATTCCACGCGTTTGTCTTTGGATACCTGAATCAAATTCAATTTTCTCAATTAATCACGAGAAAAGCAGTTCATACTTTTTATAGATATGGTGTTGGATTTGT